GTGAGTGAGACTGAGTGAGTGAGTGTGTGTGTGTGAGTGAGTGAGAGAGTGAGTGTGTGTGTGTGAGTGAGTGAGAGAGTGAGTGTGTGTGTGTGTGTGAGTGAGTGAGAGAGTGAGTGTGTGTGTGTATGTGTGTGTGTGAGAGAGTGAGTGAGTGTGTGTGTGAGAGAGACTGACTGAGTGAGTGTGTGTGTGTGTGTGTGTGTGAGATGGAAATTATGTTTAGACTGAAGGGAAAGTAATTTCTGAGTGGCCCCGAAGTCTCTCCCACCATCTAATTTTCATGGGACGAGTGTCAAGTATCGCGATAGATAGTGTTTGTAGAGAGCCTCTTCATGTCTGAACTTCATCTTCATCCTCCTCCTCCTCAGCAGCAGGCGCTTCTGGACGCACTGCAGAGGGCGATGAAGGTTTGTGTGTCTGTCCCAAGTGTTGACAACCCCTCCTCCCCCGATGAAAAACTAAATCATCATTCACTTAACCTCCCACATTTGGTCGGATGTCGTTTGCGGTGCCCGCTGATTGATCTATTGCTCTCTGCTTCTCTGAAGTGGCTGGATGAGTGCGCAAAGTAAGAGTGGAAGTTTGGAGGAGGCGCCATCTTAGCTCCAGCTCCAGCTCCGGCGGCGGCCTCACTCTCTCACACACTCACAGTGCGCCGCTCGCACCAGCCAAAGAAGGTAAAGTCTGCTCGTTTTATTCCCACATGTTTCTCGCATCGGATAGCAGAAGGGCTTTGGTGGAAGGCTCCGCCGGCGGAGTTAAAAGCAGGTTCGAATCACTCGACCGACTTGGGTTGCGAGTTACAGTACGAGGTTAGCAGGCTGCGGTCGGGTTAGCTTTTTAGCTGGACGGCATTCTAGCTAATCTGCTAACTTCGCTCGGTATCGGCTCACAGGCATGTTAGCATTTTAGCTTTTAGCGTGTTGGTTTCTTGGCTAGTTAGCCGCCTAGCGTGTGCTGTCAAAACTAATTGTAAAAGTAGCATCTGACTGGCTAACGTGCTAGTGGCTTAGCATTTTAGCTCTGGGCTAATTAGCATCATTAGCGCGTACTGTAGTACAGTGCGACTGCTCAGTATGAGCTCCAGCAAGTCTAAATAAGAGGTAAAGAACACGTCAACTGGTCATTAGCTGTTTTCGAGCATGCATGTGATACTTGATCTCGCGTTTGAAGATCGTGATTGTGAAACTGCTCATTTTGACGTAAGGTTATGGTTTCAGTGAGCAGGAGTCCAGACTTGAGCAGGAGTGACTCTGGTTCATGATGGCAAACAGGGTCGCTCCTGGAGCTAAATGGAGTCGTTTTGTTCACTTCTCTTGCTAATCCACTTGTTAACTGTGGTTGGACGCTAGAGTTGTGTTGCATGCACGTGTGTCTGTCAGCATGCCTAAAAAGGAGATCATTTTGCTGTGCTCTTTGCGTGCTGTCGCTTCTGCATGTGTTGTTTCCATTGCAAAGAGACTGAGGATAAGTGATATTCCCCCAGGGACATGTTTGGGTGAGAACCTCTGAAGAGCTGTTGAACTGCAAGAATAGAGATTGCAAACAAGCGCTGTGGTGAAAATCAGATTATTACACAATAGGCTAATATTTATAGATCCATTTTTTTATTGACACATATTTCATTTATTATGTGTCTATCATAATACATAAAACATAACAATTATTCTAAGTCACACCCACACACAGCATAGTGAAAGTTATGGCATAACACCCAAAGTAGGTGCTTTTGATTGACAGCTTAAGTATGTGTCAGAAACAGGTGGACACTGTGCCTGTGAGGAGCAGAGAGCTAAAATGACATCCCTGCGTTGTAAGGGTTCACCCGGGTGCGTGTGCAGGGGCCTGAGAGCAGGAGACCTGTGCAAAATGTCAAGAAAAGGATGCCTCTCCACCAGAGAGTGTGTAAAGGACAAAGAGCAAGCGGGAGAACGGAGTATTAACTATCCTAGTGCTGTCCTTTACCCGGTTTTGTGTTTGAATTACGCTGTCTTTATTTTCGGTCTCAGATGTGGAAATGTAATTTATCAAGCCTGGGTGTTGCTATTAAGCCGCATCTGTTTACTCGAGCTGTATCTCCCAGATGTGTTGTTTTTAAAGTATAAATGGATTATTTAGCACTCTTGAAACACATCCACTGAGTCTGAGGCTGCTCAAAATAGCCTCACCTTCTCTCGTCGGCCTCCATTACGAACTCTAACGATAAAGCTCCTGTCTGTGTCCTGGCCTGATAACACCACTGATCTTTGCACTGCCATTTTGTGTCAGTGGGAGTGTGCTGGGCATCCATGTTGGCTCTTGGTCCTCCAGAGAGAGAGGGATAAGCCTGGTTAAAAGACTGCAGCCAGACACTACACTGCCAGAGAGTTTCTTACGCCAGTGTCTGTCTGCTACAGGGAACTGCTCGCTGCTGTTGTTTCAGTCCTGTTCACAGCATGACGCTACACAATATGTGTTTTGCTGTAACACACAATTCACAGCTGAAATGCAGATCAGGGGTGCGTTTCCCAAAAGCATCGTTAGCTAACTATGGTGGTTCGTTCCATTTGAACTCTATTGGTAACGACAGAACTTGCGATCATAGTTGCTTTTTGGAAATGCACCCCTGGTTGATAGTAGGGATGCTGCGATCTGCCTTTCTCGCCTCCGATACCTAGGGTTCAGTATTGGCAGATACCGATACCGATCCGATACCAGTGAAGTTTTTTTCCCCCATTTAAATAATGTAGGATTTATATATCTCAATGTGTGGAACTGATAATCATTCTTTCACAATCTACTAGATACAGACTACTTCATTATAAAGAAAAATAAAATAAACAATAAATATGAAAAAATATAGGCCTATGTATATTTATAATCTATGACAAAAAATGATCATAAACTAGGTTAGTGGATAATTCGGCAGCAAAAGTTATTCTAGAAAAATCAGTGCACAATAATTGTAGAAAACAAAACATTTAGTGAAAAAAAATATTTTGTGGGGAACAAATAAAAGTGTTGCACTAAATATGGTAAAATGTTACACATTGCTATTTATATTATAAATCCATTAATTAAAAACATTCATATATAGGTTTAAGTATTTACTATTTCTATTGAATGTATAGCATATTTTTTAATAAAGCAAAAACATATGATAGATACGATAAGACAAAACAAATACAGTGCAGCATGAACTGTTTTTATACAGTCTATGCGCACATTGTAAGCGCTTCGTGTTAAAAACTGCAAAGCACAAAGGGAAGAGAAATTGATGCGTAGTGTATTATATCTGTTCAACAGTTATTGAGCCTTTCTTTTAACCGTTTTAAATTTCAGTTACTGTGCACGTTAAAAACCATTTATAGTCTTTTCTACGCCCGTGTTTTGTTCTCACAGACACCCGGTAGCAAGTAAAAAAATATTAAACTCCGGCAAGAAGATAAAGTCCTTTTTGCAAAATCATAGACATGTATTTACAAAACAAGTATAATGGGAACACAGAATGATGTTGGAGAGAGCTTTACCGAGCTGACCGCTGTAACCGAACGCGACCAGGGTTTAAAGGCTGAACGAATGCCTGACAGACACACCGGAGAAAAGAGTTTGTGTGAACTTTAATGTAAGGACTTAAATATTCATATGTAGCTCACATTAAGCTATCGTATGGCTTCAGAAGTAACACAGAATAATTCGCACAATCGAGAAAAAATTGGTTTTTCTCTCTGACCGATACCGATAGAAAAATGTCACTATCGGAGCCGATACCCGATATGAATATCGGATCGG